GTCGCTGTGTTCGAATTGAGTGCGGCTGACAGAGGCACTGAGATACTAAGTATCACTCTGCACGAAAATCAACTAGAGGCTAAATCACACAACAGTCTGCCTCAGTGGGGCTGCAGCACGTCACAGCGATATGACAAGCGATTTATTGTCATCTCGGCCAAAATGGCGAATACTGGAAGAAGAAAAAAAGGGTCAAGCAAAAAGAGAGTGAAATAAGCTGTGAAAGTACACATGGACTAGAGAGTAATAAAGTGAGGGGCAGATGGATGGAGAGCACTTGGTGCCAGTCGGCAGTCCATTTGGTCCATTAATGTGGAGAGCAACGGCCTCACTGACTGAGGGATGATGGGAAAAATGGCACTTCCTGTAGGGCAGCTCTTGAAGTGATGTATAGTCGCGAGGACAGAGCGTCGCGCTGGATGGGCGATTCTTCCTCCCTCAGCTCATTACAGGCATAAACAACAGGGGGCCTTCCTGTAAAGAGAAGGCACTCTCACAATGTAGAGCCCAACCAATCCAAAGAGCGTCATATTGTTTTTGGTCTGATGACTTTAAGTTTGCTCGGTTCAGACGTAAATTTGCTGCTGCAACTTATGAAGAAAGTATAAGAGCAATTATACAGAGAGTTTAAAACTGTCCAATGCACTAAAGAGACATTTGATTGGACAGCGTATACATTATGCAAAAGTCAGCTGTCTAAATCAACGCTTGAATAAAAATATACATGAACAAACATAACACTACATAAACATTTAGCACTCATGCCTATTTAGCAATTTTCAGACTGCTCATTACTATTTTTGTACAAAAAAAGGATTGAGTAACTTTATGTCATGTAAAAGGGGTCGCTTATATTGAAGATCTCATCATTGTTCCTACCTCAGCAGTTTGGTAGATCAGGATGACCATATCGTAATTTCAGCTGGATTTCGATTAAATTGTACATCCAAACAAAGCATCTCGGGTGAATGACTCTGATGTGAGGCATGAGTGCAATAATTAGATAATACAAAAGTGTTTTGTTTTGCAATAGCAGATCTATTTGTATTTTCATGAGATCGAGAATGAAAACACAAACAGGAACTTTGAATGCAATCCCCATTCATTTTTGTCCAGCTTAAAATAAAACTACTGGCTTGGGAATTCAATCAGTCAAACAAAAAATAAAACATTAAAAAAACAGTCATCTCATTCACAAGATCATATATCAGTTGGAAATGTAAAGTTTCAGGCCAGAAGTTTTTTAATGTTTAGACTAAACAAATAAGATAGCTGAATATTGCTCTCCATAAACCACCAAATATATATACAGTACGAACACCAGACACACGCCGGTATACCAATTAACCAAAGCTGTAGCTTATGTGCTGTATTTAAGAGAGGCAGCTTTAAGCTTCCTCCTTCCAGACAAAACAACAGACATCATCTGGAGGGAGCAAACAAACAGGGCTGACGAGGTGAAGCCAACAAGCAGCATAGGCCTGCCGTTGGAGTGTGAAAATGGACTGTGTGTACCATTCCTCCTGGCAGAGAAAGACCTGCGATCGTGGCTGATTTTAAACTGCAGCTGTTGCAGGAGACGGAGATGTGAAAAATTTGAGAACATTGTCAATTTTTCAAATAACTGACAAACACGCAGTGAATGATTGTTCTCAGACGGGGGGGTAATTGCCAAAACAACTTGCTTTAGAGAAGATTCCAGCCCCGAAAAACGCTACAGGAGAGTGATGACCATTTACTAATGAAAGCCCTCCTCATGGGAGACATTCAGGCTCATCCGTCACTGTGTGACGGACCGACGTGAGGCTTAAAGAGGGTCTGTGAGGCTCAGTCTCAGGTGTAAAGGCTCCTTGTGATATATTTTCTTATGATTGGATGGTTACTCTCATCATTAGCTAAGTGGCAGTCATCTAGAGCTTCTCAGTGGAAGGCTGCTGTCGGATGGCACAGCAAACTCATTTTTCAGAAGCGTGTGTTGGTATGTCGGCAGGTTTTTGAGCCTTTATGTGCCCGCTTGACTTTGGCTTTTTGACTTCACCACCTATCTTAATATCTGGTTTCTCAATTTCCTTTTGTGCAGTGGGGTTTCCCCAACTCCTTATTCGTAAGCACAATTAAACTAAATGTCCTCTTTAAAGGCAATCCATATTCTGGCCAACAGCTCACTACATCAACCCCTGGATTAGCCAGTTGAAACACAATGAGGACCTAGCTTTGTTCATGATGGGGGAAAAAAAGATGCAACCCAAAAGAAGTATTTTCCTAATTGGGCCACTTGAGGAAAAGCTTGTCAGGGCTGAAATCAATCAACGTTGATTGCTGGTCTTGTCTGCGTGGAGCCACATGGGGGGGGGGTTGATGGGGTTCTTGTGGTTTGGGATTTTGCACATGGTAGTTGGATCTCCGTAGGGAAGGCCTCTCACAGACGAGAGCAGCTCATTACCTCGGCCCACTGTCTGCAGCCGAATGATAAATGAGCAGGCTCCCGTGCACGGCTGTGACGGCCCTGTGCACGGGGTACAGCTGACATCCACGACAGACAGAGGCAAGGCCGAACGGACACAAAGCCTTCGGTGGCTACATGAGGAAATGTGTGAACAGTTGAGGTTGTTTCTAAAAGGATAACTCCCACACTGATCACCATTTAAAAGAAATCCCTTTGTACTGTCCGACTCGTATTGACTTTTTTCATTGATACTACAGCGCAGGAGGCATAACATTTTTTATCCACACCACCTCCAGAACTGGTCAACGTGACAATCGAGGATCACTCCTGAAACCGGTCCAACAGGCCAACAAGAACGATGGTTCAATGATTGAACAGGTTGTAAGCAAACCCCCATGTTAAGCACATTTTTGGGAAATTACTTGTAGAGCCAAATGGAAAAAATCATTTGACGACCCAAATATTTAGTTTACATAAACACATGACCGTTGTCAACTTACAAGTCAGGATTTTGAGCAGAGTTTGGACCTTTCAACTTCAATGTTTGCACACAGCTATTTCTGCAATTGATCTTTCAGTTGCCACTTGAAGTAAAAGCTGTAAAATAGGAAATTATTTTTGATTTGGATTCATACATTTGCCATGCGCAAGTTTCCCCCTTGGCTGGCACTGCTGCGGCTACATGCAGCACTAATGCAAGAGACAGCCGGATGTCTCCTGTAGAGAGCAGGAGGGCTGTATGTTTGTGTGTGTGGACCTGTCACCACCAGTTGAGTGATGTTGATGGGAGCTCAAGTGGCACGACTGTGGCTCTCTATGAGGGAGGTATGGCACTGAATCCAGACGGGGGGTAGGGGGGGGGGTGTGTGTGTGTGTGTGTGTGTGTGTGCGTGCGTGGGGACAGCTTGGCAGACATCGGATGAGGGGATGTCATACCCTTCAAACTCTCTCCCACACACACACACACACAAACATCCATATCCAACTGCAATGCGCATGAATGGTCATTCAGCTCCAGCCAGCAGTATTAAAACAAGTCAAAGGAACGAAGAGGAGGGGAGAGGAGGGAGGATGAAGGATAGGGTCTTGGGCCAAAAGAAACACGGTGGGCTCGCCTGTCCTCCTCCCTGTCCTGATGAGCACCCCAGGCAAATATTTTGTGAATGAGAGCATGTTGGGGGGGGGGTAAACTTCTCATTTTACCCTGCAAATGAGGAGGAGAAGGAGGTGTAGGAGCAGTGACTCATCTCATGATGTCATACAAGATGAAAAATGTTAAATGAGTCTCAATGTGTAATAGAGGACGTATATTTTGGCCAGCTTCTTGGTCTGGTTCTGCTAATACGGAACAACAGCGCTGGTTCTCACCCTTTTTGGCTTAATTGGTGTGATCCAAAAAACGAAGCTGTCATTTGAATTGCCCTGTGAAAAGGTCTTGTTTGTGTGTTCCATAACATTTGTCGTGAGACAGGCGAATGTGGGTGAGTGGGGAGCACGGTCGTCCTCCAATCAGAGGGTTGTCGGTTCGATTCCAGGCTCTGCTAACCCGCATGTCGATGTGTCCTAAACAAGATGAGTCTGTCGTTGCAGTTCCAAATGACTTGGTGTTTTGTGATCTGGCGACAGCTTTGATTAATTTTAGGTAATAAAAGCTTTCAGGCTATGGTTAGGAAAAGGGAATGGTCACAGTAAAAGACACCAATATGTGACTGTTGGTGGTAGATTGGTCGCAACCTGTTGTCTCGGACATCAAAGTCTTCCAATCATCTTCGCTGACCCGCTTCCTGAAGGGCTTTCTGGCGTCAGGCCCCTCTCCGGGTCCCACATCCCAAGGGTTGCCTCTGAAGGAGAGCAGTCCTTCTTCGCATCACCACAAGGCCGCCTCTTGTGAGGAAAACAGAGGCATTGGTCGTTTTAAGTGTGTGATGAAATGATTAATGCTGGTGTTTGTGCTGGCGAGGACAGCCTGAAACACCATCAAAAGAAGACTGGCCATCATTAGAACCAATTAGACAAGCCTGCGCTGAGTAATAACACAGTTCCAAATCTCCCCAGGCGGAGACAGATGCTATCTGGCTCTTTTGTTGAAGTCGCGCTAACTTTAAACACACCAGTGTTGGGCGGGGGGGCGTTTTCCCTTAGTACTTTAAGGGTGGTGTCAAAGAGCTCCTTGTGATCCCCCAGTAGGTATTTTAATAGCTGGGCCGACCCGCTGTCATCTCACTCACAGGGACACTATTGTGATGCAGGAGAAGCACAGAAAGCAGAGGGGAGCCTAGAAAGATGTTGTTGACTGCTTGTTACTCAATCTTTCCCGAGGCTGAAATGAGCATCATCAGTAAAGTCAAAATGTACTGTGCTCTAACTTTTTTCTTAATGAAAAAGAGAAAGACGTTTTAATGTGAATTACTTACTGCCTCTAAAACCTCTTGCAGGATTGTTCTGCCTTAAACTGATATACTCAAGTCACCTTCGAAGATGCTGCATATTTACCGGACAGTTTGGCAGCGCGGTTCATAACTTTGCTTCTCATCAAAACTCATGAGCAGTCACAGAAGATGCGGCGTGTCGCTCGTTGGTTGTGCGCTCTGAGGCGTCACCATCTGACATCCAGCAGCAGAGCTCCATCCATGCGTCCTCCCCCCCGGTCTCCACACATTGTAGAAACAGCTGTAGATCGTGAACCGCGGAGTGCTTGTTTTACGGATTACATAGACACCGGCTGAAACTCCTGGGTGGGCATCCAGCAGCGAGAGACAGGCAGCGCTACTTTTTGCTTATTCTTTGCTGTATTAAGTTTCCCCGCTTCACATTTTTTGTTTGGATCACTTCCAAGAACATCAACCATGGCGAGACGCTTTCTTCACACTCTGAATGTATTAATAATGCTGGAGTTGAGCTCCGGCAAAATGGTATCTGAGGATTTTGGTCAAACCGTGCGTCTAGGTACCGAAGACTTAGCGGCTGCGGAGCAGGGTGTCTTTGCGCACGAAGGCGCAAACCGGGACATGGTCTCCATCAACATGTTCAAAGTGTACGAGAAGTACAGCAAAGAGCCGCAGAGCCAGAGGGACGGAAACACTGTGAGGAGCTTTAAGGCTGTCCCGAGTGAGTGGCCAAAGCGATTATCAGTTGCATGTTACTTTGGTGATAAGTGATCATTGCTGCGGGCACTATGCCAGATACAAAGTAAGGTCCATGATGAGTCAAAACAGATACATTCATTTAGAGTGTTACTCTGTGCTTAATAGCAAATTTTCTCAGGTAACATTGTGGTATACATTTTGTATACATATTGATTGGGCATTTTGTTTTTTCTGTTATGTTTGAGTCATCAGATCATAATGATTAACATATTTTCCACAACATAGCTTTTAGAAAATAATCCTTATGTTTATCTCAGTGACGTGCTGTGAGGTTCGTGGCTGCGGAGGCACTGACTTTCAGTCAATGAAGTGAAGTCAGATTCACAAATGCATGAATTCCACAGAGTAGCATAAATTCAAAATTCAACTGGATATTTTGCCAAAGAAAGGTACATTTATAGCGGCTCAGAGAGAGCACATTTGCTCGACACCCTCCATGTGTTCTTCATTTGACATCACAATCCATTCGCCTAACCTTCTGGACAAACTGCAATTACTTTGTTGTAAAAGTCCTCGTTATCTACTTCAAAAGTCTCTTTGTCCCAATAGAGATAATTGCCTAGGATGAAAGTTGTCCAATCCGATTTCGACTGTATGTTTTCAGTCTTTTCAAAGCAGAGAAGGACCTTTCCACGGACACTGTTGTAGCCGGTATAGTGAGCACCAGCTGAAGTAACTTTGTCGCCTTAGGAACAGTCTTCATCAAATCCTTCTGGGCCAAAAAGTTGAGGAGCTGTCCAGGAGATTTACACTCATTCCTCACCGTTTAGGAACTATAAAGTCCGATGAGATCAGCCGTAGGTCTAACAAAGTAAAGTAGAAGAAAAGAAGAAGGCATATTTTGAGAGGCTCTGCTTTTTGGTGTCATCAAAACGGTGTGACATTTCCTCAATTTTTGCACAGTCAACCAAAACCAAGGAAAGCTAGCTCACCAAAATGATCAAACCTAGCTTTCAGTTGACCATTGATGTTGTCCAGAATGTTATAAAACATTTATTTCCTCTCTGAGTGACTGCTTACTTTGGACACTCTTCATCAGGCCCAGTGTGGCACATTTCTGTCAAATTGCTCAAAGAAACTGTCAAACTCCTGTCGCTGGCATTCCACAACTCCAATTGTGTCGCGGATTCATGCACAACAAAATTAGATGTCCATTACTTAGTTTTACAGCACTCTAAAGAGAGCATCGTTTCACTGAAAATGTCTTCATATGCCATGATGAGAAAGGATGTTGATGCTTTTGTCAGCCATCGATCATATCCAGTGGCCATCGTTGGCGTGTCATTATCCCAATTATCTGGATTATCAGTCATTACAGGGAATGAGCACGCAAATCTGATTGGTATATGCTTATTGTCCGCAACAGCCAATTTGAGCTCCATCTCGTGGGCGCTGCTCTGGGCAAACATCCCTAGTCCCTCAGCTGTTTTAAAGAAGGTTCTACTCTGAGGCATGCATTTTGCTGAATGCGTGAGAACCAGGTTCGATTTGTGTGCGTAACAGTAGTAAAAATGGCTTCAGGCACGCCTTCTTCACTTCACAGGCTCACTTTTAGCCACATAACGCAAAATGACAGAGATCTGGGCTTTGTTTGTGACATCCATCGTCACGTCTACTTCTACAGCAATAGGGCTGCATCAATCTCCTTTTTTAAAATAATTTCTGATCGTATTACTACTGCTTCAATTAGATCTTTCTAAATTTGATTTGATAAGCCAGAAAACACAGTGGATGTCTCCAAATGTCTAGCTAACCTATCATCTTTCTCAGCAAAAGCATGTACATAGTTGCCACAATTAGAAGAGGTGGTACTCATCGTTACCACGAAATGCTAATTCCAAATCTATCCTTGCACTTCCACTTCCACTTTTGCAGCAATTTGGCTTTGAATGTTAGTCGTTGAACTTTCATGTCTGCTGAGACTTAATCCTGCTGTAGTCCAGAACGGACTGATGCGGTGCACTTGACTTTCACTAACGTTACTTAACACTGTTAGCTAGCATATGCTAGAACAGGGGTGTCAAACTCATTTTAGGTGTGGGCCTGGAGTAACGCCAGAGTCGAAAAGGTCTAATGCAGAGGAGCCCCACATTTTTTCGGCTGGCAAGCTACTTTTTACTCAACTTTTTCAATCCAAGTCATGCCGATCTATCCCCCCTCCCTCCCCCCATGGACAGTTCGCCTGAATAATAATAACTATGAGCAGTAGCGGTAACCAAATGGAACAACAGCGCTGCATACCGGGAGCGCAAAACAAACCGATATAAAAAAAAAAAACACGAGCCTCTCGTCTGTCAGAAGCAGCCGCGCATGTGTGGGATCTACCGGCCCTGCGTTGGTCCAATGCATGCGCTCACTCACAGAGTGCGACCCCCAGTGAACTTTTAAGGAATAGCAGCTACTTTTATAGATGCAATTTATGTCTTTCTGTAATTGTCACATTAGCAAAGTCAGCTAGCGGGCCGCACTGGACCCTGCCCACCCCCCCAGGAATGCAAAACCATTTCAACTATTTTTTTTATCGTAAAGATTAACATTTTTTATTAACTTTGCCTTATTGAAGCCAGAAGGATAAAGGTAACGAACCCACATAGTGGGACCATGATAGTTTAGCCTGGTACCAGGAGGCTAGCAACTCAAAAGTGATATTAACTGGCTGAATTAACGCTGAATTGTCCATTTTGGCAGAGTTTGCATTAAATTATCGTTTTTTTATGGGTGTTTTGACAATGTTACCCATGAGTGTTATCATTCACACTGACTATTTTCAGAATAAATGTCATGCTTGTAGGTAGTAAAAAGGTGCTATGAATTGGAATGCCTAAGTTTATGCATTATACAATTAATTATGCATTATTTCATTGCTCAGAAATCCAGTACAGATGATTTAGGAAGACTGCTTGGATTTGCAGTTTAGGGAAAGGTTTGTCCAACCAGATTTGGAGAAACTCAGTTGATGGCTTTGAAATTGACAGTGAGATTCTGACTCTGTTCCGATCAAAATCGGAACAGAGTCAGAATCTCACTGTCAATTTAGTGTTCAGTCAGCACCACTAGCTACTAGGAAGATGTAGGAGTAGAAAGGTAAGGGGTCGCTTTGGCCAAGTGGAGAAGCTGATCAGAATCTTGATGTCTGTGCCTGCTTCCGCAGTTGATTCTCAGTGCGTTAAAAAGGTTCAGGTCAACCATCTCCCGGCAGCGGCTGAACAATGTCTGTGCATTGAGTTGCTCTGGACACCGTTGAGCTTACAGATGTAGGCCAACCCTTCCTCTCTGTGAATGATCTTCTTTTGGTGCATTTAAATAAGAAATTTAAAAGACAAGTAGATATGCATAAAAGAGGAAAGAACTTAATTTATAGCCTAGTAAGTGCTGCAAAATATATTTATTTTCAATTCTTTTTTGGCTGTGCAACTGGGAAACGTTTTTACTATATTTTGACGTTTTAGGAGATGTTTTTTTAATAAATTTGAATTGATCAGTCATTATTATTCAGGGTTTGTACGGTCATGGAAATCCATTGGTCAAGATGTATAGAAACCCTGATTATTTATTTGGTGCAGAATACTGTTTTGTATTTCAACCAAGATTTTATCACTGTTTTTATGTTTAAATCAGTGCCACAAATGTTAATATATGTAAATAATGTCTGCCTGTTCAACATAATATCAACTACGTTTTTTTAATTATATTGTGGGGGGGGGGGGCTGGTAGTGTCCCTACCAATGCAAAGACGAAACCTACGCCCTTAAAGACAAGGGACCCACATGGTTTAAATACACTGGGGAGGTACAGGTGATTGGACACAGGAGGAGACAATCAGGAACAAGTATGACAATCACAAAGGGGGAGAAAACTCACCAGATAAGGAAGTGAAGTTAAGCTAAATAAAGGACAAACCAGCACTGTAGTTCTTCGGCAACAAAGGTGTTAGACAAGAGTCTATTATCCCACCCTGACACCGGCTGCACACCACAAACCTCAGAAGAGCTTTTTCTGCTATAAGCATTTCCATATGCCTGCGACACACCTACTGGACCAATCCAATGTTTGTCTTTCAGGCTGTGGTGACGTGTGGGAGACAAGGGTGAACTTGAAGAGAATACCCATCCAAAATGAGGCTGGGATGAAGCGTGCCGTGCTTAATATGTTCCATGCTGCCGCTTAGTCAAATGTGTTGAGCAACAATTCACAGAAAACATATTGAATGTTTTTATTGTTTTCATTCTGTCAGCCAAATGTGCCAGAACGATGTGATATGAGAGGAGGGAAGGCAGCAACGTGAGCGCTGTAGTCTTTATTGGTAATTCCAGGTCTTTAGCATGTATTTGACAAAACATCTGTATGGACAAGTTTTTTAAACTTGTTTTTTAAGTTTTTTTAAGTTTTTAAAATCGTGGAGAGAGAGGATTAAAAAATCCTATAGATGTTACATCAAAGGGAGGCTTTTTTCTCATCCGTCTTCTAATTTGTTTTTCAAAATCTCCAGGAGTATTTCATGGCAAAGACGTGTTCCAGTTCAACCTGTCAACCATCCAAGAATCAGAGCTCATACTCCTCGGCTCTTTTCATTTCCTCAACAAGCGGCCCCGCCACCACCAGCGGCCGCTAAGTTTCCGACGGCCTCGCCACCCATCCGCCAGCCTCCAGCATCTTTATCCTCCCTCCCCGCAGCTCCTCTTCCATGGATCCTCCTCCCCAGACTTGACTTTTGCAACATCACTGGGGAACTTAACTCTGGCTCCTTTCAAGAAAGGCTCTTGGCAAACAAGGGATGTAACGGCGTTGCTGAAACACGCCAGGGATTGCAAACAGCTCGTGGTCACTGTGGAGTTTGAAATGGGTTTTGCGGCAGTGCGAGGACAGCAACGGAGCCCTCATGGCCAAGAGCGTCTCTCCTCGACCAACCTCCCGTACCTCTTGGTGTACGCTGACGACCGAGCAATAGATGAGCCAAACAGCGTGGCCAAGTCACTCCAGAGGTACGCAACCTTCCCCGTGGCAGAGGACGTGTCCTCCTCGGCCTCAGCCTTGAGGATCCGGAGGGAGCTTCATCTCCCAAATAAAAACCAACGACATTCCAGAGGTCCAGTACAACACCTTGAAGAATCACGAGCTGTGGCAGAACACATACTTTCCGGCGAAGGCTAAAGCAGCAGTGAAGCCAGGAAAGAAGCACAGTTTGACGAGCAGCAAGGGCCCAGGGAAGCCCCATGTGCTGAGCTTTGATGAAAGGACAATGAAAAAGGCCAGGAGGCGACAGTGGAGCGAGCCCAGAGTTTGCTCCAGGCGATACCTCAGGGTGGACTTCGCCGACATCGGCTGGAGTGAGTGGGTTTTAGCGCCAAAAGCATTTGACGCCTACTACTGCGCAGGGCCCTGTGGATTCCCCATTCCCAAGGTTACCCGCTTCATCTTCCTTCAGATAATACAAAAGATTTAATTTTTGCTTTTATTTTGTGTTTTATAAGTAATTTCTTTCAGCGTTCATAATGATATACTCCCACTCATTTGTCCAGGTGGCGCTTCCATCCAATCACGCCACCCTCCAGAGCATCGTCAGAGCGGTGGGAATTGTCCCTGGCATCCCCGAGCCATGCTGCGTTCCGGAAAAGATGAGTCCCCTCAGCGTCCTCTTCATCGACACAAACAGGAATATGGCGCTAAAGGTTTACCACGGCATGTCCGTGGACACCTGTGCCTGTCGGTAGTGCTGGAGACGGCAAGGAGTGCCATCTATGAAGATAAAGGGTTGTGAGGACGACGTATATGTGGAGTACATCAGGAGGGCATTTCCACCTCAAAGAGGACGGTGACAAATACGGCAAAAGGGGGACACTTGAGTCTCAGCTTGAGAACTCTGTTGTGAAGCTTGAACTAGCCTCGGTCATGAAGCCGCGGTGACCAAACACTTTCCATTAATGTGTTTTCTCCACCCGGGCCACCGTCAATTATTGTTCTCTCTTCATCCAAAAGCAGTTCAAAGAGGTGCACTTAATAAAAACCTGTTCATGCATTTAAATGACTGTTTGGATGTTAAATTTGGGTAAAAAAAAGATCCTGCAGGTAAATCATCTGTTGACCCCTTATGAACTTCCTTTGGTCTTTTTCAACTCACCTCACTTTTATAAAGTGGTCTTCCCAGCTCTCATATTAGACGAGATCATTATTTTCTTTGGCCTGGTTTTGGGAATATATAAACTCAATTAAACTCAAAGTCTGGGTTTTAACTGTTCCCAAACCTTTAGACATCAATATCCTCCGTTTATACTCTGCTTGCCCCTGTCGATAGGATTGAACTGATATTTGGAAACAGTGATGATCTGCCAACTGACTCTGATAGAGGGTCTGATGGACACAGAAGCTGTATGGCAGCACTTTACTTTCTACCAAATTAATCCACCCACATCATGTAAATGATGTTGTTACTAATGCTTACTAAATGGTACTTATTCTTAAGTAATGCCTAATTGTTGCCATTGAAAATCACCCTTATATTGGCAAGAACCGTTATTCATGCATGAGATGTAATATCGTCTTTGAACTATATTTCAATAACATTTTAAAATGTTCTATAATTCAGTGTTCTGTCACCCACTGAGCTGTAATGTGTTGCTCGCTCTGCTACAGCACACATGGAAAAGTGGTGCATTGCTGCCACCTGCTGTGCATTTTGGGAAAGATGAACAGACAACCATTTAACATGAGTTTTTGTACTTCCTGATGCTACTCGGTATTTGTCTTTGATACATTAATACTGTTTATTTAAGAAGACATGTAGGGTACGGTTTGTAATGATAGTTATTTTACGTAGTAAGTAAAAAGGGATAAATGTATCTACCTTATAACTGAATGGCTCAAAGTGTATCTGAAGAGTTGAGTGATGTGTGCTTTGACACATTGTAGACATAATGCGTGTCTGATAAGGAAATAAACTGAACTGTACATAGGGTCACAGACACTTGCTGACTTCCTTAAGCTAATAAAACATATATAAATCAAATACTTTAAATGTGCATTTAACATTCAAAATATCTTACTAACATTCCTATACATTATATTCACACATGCATGCATACATACACATCTGTTTGATCTCAATTTAAAATCCCTTACTTAAATGTTTAAAGGAATGCTGTAGTACAGCGGTTCCCAAACTCAAAGAGTGCCGCGGCCCACTTTGAAATCTGAAAAATCTTTTGCGGCCCACCCAAACCTTTAATCACAACTCTGATCAAAACATAAACTTGGGATGACCTTAAGAAGTTAACCGATTAAACATGTATTAACCGACAATGTATGTTTTGTATACCATTTTCTCCGGAGCTCATGTGCCGTGTTTTCTGCACAATAAGGCACATAAGATACTGCAGTCTATCAGCGCAAATCACTGTCAAAATTCGAGAGCGCAAATCAGGTTGATGCGCGCGCGTAAATCAAACATCCGCCGGCAAAAGTCCGTCTTTAGGGAGGTATTTGCTCGCTTGCGAAACGTGAACTTCCTCGCTCGCATGGAGAATCTCTCCGAAGGAGTTTTCTACGCGCTCGCTTTTTTTCCTTCTGACAGTGAGGGGGCGGAGCCAGTCACCATGGTATCTACATCTGATTGGTTACAAACCCCGTCTTTGGATTGGCTGGAGCGATGCATTCACACAACTATAGAAGCTCATTTCCGCACTGAAGAAAGGGGATAGAAAGTCGAAATTATGAGACAAAACGTTGTCAAAACACAAACGACACCTTTATGTAACCGTAGTGCACCGTAGATGACAACCAGCTACAACCATCATTTACCATCATTACCGGCACATTAAGAGCAATGCGTCCAGCTGGCAGACCGGCTGGCGATTTGCCGCCATAGCAGTCAAACGTTTGGCGTCGGGGCGGGTGGACGGGGGTGTGTGGGGCGGGGAGACGGTGCTTTCAGGGTCCGATCGATGCTGTGAGGTGCGTCCGCTCCCGCCGCCCCCCTTGCCATTCATTCCTTAAATCTTCGGCTGCTCTCCAGCCGCGCCGCCTGCCAAGGGCGCCTTTTAGAATAACTTATTTTCCCCGTTAAGATGGTTCAGCTACTGTAAAGAAAAGGGCACCGTCTCTCGCTCTTTAATCTCATTATGTGCTCGGCAAGAATGACAGCTTTGTTTCTCCGACGCGCCCTGAAACAAGCTCCATATCTCACGCGCTTGAGCGCCGCTCAGCATCTCGCTGTCGTAAACCGAGCTTTGGCATGTTTGGCAGAGCGCCTTCAGCGCCGTGTACAACCAGTATGGATCAACCAATTAACCAATCTTTTCGTTTGTGCTTCATCAATTAATGTTTCACATAATTAATGTGCCGCATCATACATATTTTTTTATTAATTTCAAACTTTTCAAAATTGAAAATTAAAAACTTTTTATTTATTTATTGTAAATGACCTCTCGCGGCCCACCTGCAGTACCTGGGCCGCGGCCCACACTTTGGGAATCGCTGCTGTAGTAGTTGTCACCGTACAGACAAACCTTAATGCAGAATATACAGAGGCTGTCAACCAAAAACCAGAGATTCAGCAGCATTCACATGTGTGAATTTTCCTTACTTTAACAACCAGAAGATACAAGGTGACCAGTCTGACCCGCAGTATCACACTTGACAGCTTTGCTATGGAATTGAAGATTTCTACAAGAAAAACTGTGGAATGAGACATGTAGAGGCCCTTTTCCATTGTATGTGTTAAGGCACTATAGGGCAAACGGGGGGAACATGTTTGGACCCGTGTTCAGCCAGAACTAGAAATAGACAATCCCTGTCCAGTGCGCTGAGTGTCTTTAAGTAATTTTAATCTGCGCTCTGCATACAATTACCAATGCGTTTTTCCTTGCATTATATCACATTTGTTGGTTACCAGAACCACACAGCATAAGACAACACGTTGACACCTGCGACACGGTCAAAAACTCCCATCCACACCTTTGCTCATTAGCAGGCACTTACTTAAGTGCATTTTTATGGCAATGTGCCACCCTGTTCATGTGTAGGAACTGCATGTCCCAATTCACCCAGTGTTTCCCTCAGCATAACCCATCACCAAAACCTGCATTTATGGGTTGTTGTGGCGCAGGGGGTAGAGAGGGTGTGCTGGGAACCACAAGGTTGGTGGTTCAAGTCCTGGCTGCCCCCTGTCCCATGTTGAATGGTCCCTGAGCAAGACACTTAACCCCTAATTGCTTCCCGGGCAAAATGTAAGAGCCATGGGTTAAAAATGTAATGTAAGTCACTTTTGATAAAAGCGTCAGCTAAATGACCTGTAATGTAATGTAATTATGGCTCCATAAAGGCATTTAGCCTTTTTTATATCCAATATATTTCAATGCACATGCACAACATGAGTATTCATGACCAACCTTAACAACATCATTACCGTCAACCACTAGATATGTTGCATTTAAAAATAACCTTTTTTTTTTTTTTGCTAGAGTAATATCCACAGAAATACAGCCCGGTGTCAGGTTAAATCATTTGTTATATTTTGAGGAAAACAGCATAGAGGCTATAATCAAATTTTCTATTTCTAAATCCGTGAGAGGAAATAACAGCCCAAGATCTTTCCTTGAATACACTTTTTAATAAGTTAATTGTGGGTTTATTCATTATGGTGGGTGACACAGTATACTTATTCATTCTCAACTTTCTCCATATAAAGTGATTGTTTGAGGAACAAAATGTCTTAAATATTGCAAGACATTTGTGAAATGTGTAAACAAGGCTGGAAAACCCTGTTATTTTGGTTTAAAGGCATCAATTCATTTAACATTGAAAATAGCAAAAGAAGAAGAAGGAAACGTCGAAGAAGGTGCTGATAACCAGTTTAATGAATTGATTCAGCTGCTGCTGAGCATAATGGTAACTATAGAAACGGTGAGTGGCCGATGCAACCCTGAGTCTTTATTTTTATTGTTAAGCTTCACTTATTGTTCAACCATCTGCTCTTTTTAATTTATTATATTACATATTATATTACAGTGTGTCTTGTTGCACATATTTCAATGCATATTAAATGACTTACGCTGTTTTTCAAATACTATTCTTTTTTTTCACACAAATCTTGAAGTATTTACAATTTTTTGGTGAAAAAAATACAATGAATGAATAAATAAAATCAGAAATCAGGGATGACCTATAGAGAACCTTTTAACCTCAAACATTCGTGGGCGTCCTCAGGAATCAAAGAACAGACGATGAGCTCGGCCTCGCGTTTACTACCACCTGGAGGACACTTTTCAGCTACCCTCGACACCTAAATATATACTGCTGCCACGAAGATTTTACACTTCATAATGCACAACTTGTTTTTTAATATGTGTCACCCTCAATATAAATATACACATGCATATACTTACTCTATTGCACACAGTACATAATCAGGAAATACAGGAAATAAACACAAAGGAAAACGTCCAAGGAGGATTTTCCTGGAGCAGCCAGGTTATGCGTTGGTGAAGATTTATATCGAGAGACGGCATTTGACACTAAGAGCATCAACAGCTGCGGCAACTTTTGTAAAATACAAAGACACACAACCCCCCACTGGTTCCAACTACGGGCAGGAGACGTGGCTGGTGGCAGGTGCCATGTCCGTCCCAACAGAAATAAATCCAAGACCAGCAACACCAGTAATCCGCATATTTCTTCATAGTCACGTAACAAGTATTCTGAATGTATAAGGTGGTAATAATGGGCTATTTAGGTAGTCAATAAACAAACGTACCTGAAACAAAAACCTGGGTAAAAGTTTTAATTATTATGCTAAAGGGAGGGGCTGTGAGATGGACGATAGCTGTGCAGGTAAAATAACTTTTAGATTGGATTTAGCTTTTATGAGAAATGTTAGAAAAACACTTAGTGGACACAAACACGGCCGCTCAAAATCCTTTTCATTAGTTGCTTAAATAGATTAGAGAGATTAATTAGTTGAGCATCAGCACGTGCAGGTGGAATGAAAAAAAGTGTTTCAAGCTTTTGATTGTTTAGCTTTGCTTATGGTGCAACCATCTGCTCTTTTCATTTAATCAGATCACATAACTGAGTCATCTACCATTTAACACCTGAAATGTACTTTAATCTTCATTGTGCTATTTGCAGATCAATTTGTTAAGTAACCGCTTGGGACTGCGTGTGAACTGCCGCATCCAGCAGGACAACATCTCCTCCACATGTTGTGATATTGCGCAACTAGTATACTGGGATAATAATGAGTTATAAACTACAGAGATCACTGTGGTTATGTTGGATTAATGTAGCTGGGTTTCACCAGTGCATCTTGTTGTTGTCCAATGCATAATAAATGAGTTCATAATGACTTTAAGGTCTTTAATTGGTAACTATTAATTGCTTGTTGGTGTGTGCATGTGAGTGTGAATTGGGGGGTTGTGTGTCTGTGTCAGCTGTGTGATTGACTGGCGACCAGTCGAGGTTGTACCCCATCTCTCGCCTTGGTTGGGATTGACTCCAGTATGAAGGATAAGCGGCATTGAAGTTTGACTGATGCTGTTCATTAAAAAATATTGATTATTTTGTTCAAAACAAACAGGTTTCAGTAAAAGAGCCTGCTGACAAAAGAAAAACAGATAAGATGTCATAAGGTTGATTTGTGAAACTAAACCACACTGCCGATCCCAAAGGAGCTCACTGCTTTGTTGTTTGTGGCTACAAAGTCAAAGTGAGTTGAATCCGTTGCATGCTGGGAACTCAGGGGACCACACCACCCCCTAACGGTCCACCAGTTTCATCACCTTTAGCTCTAGCGAGGTAATGAGCGCTAATGTTTCCCATCCCGATAGGATCATTAACAAGGTCCACCGTGACCATCCGAGAACAAAAAGACTTATGAGCACACACTGTGGGGGTGATCGGCCTTCTGGGAGCAAAGGGAGAGGCCCGGTAATAGATGTTCATCAGACAGGTTACAAGCACTAATGAGGGCTACTGGGATCCCCAACAGGTGATCCTAGCCAATAACAAAGA